ATAATCCACTAAACCCTCAGAGCTCCTTTAAGCACAGATGCATATCCATAATTTTTGATGAATTGCTAAAATAATTTTTGTGGAATGTCATAGTCATTTGAAAAGGTTAAAATACTATGGTTAAACAGTGCACTTACACTGATCATTTGACATAGTGAGCATGTCATAAATTATACAGTAAATTATAGCTTAGATGTTCCGAGGATAAGGGTGTGCATGACATATTGAAAATATATGTGAGAATAAAACTGGTGTATGATTAGATATTGTTAGATAACTTTTTCTTACTATTTTTAAGATTATGAAAAACCATCCACTTAAGATTGCTGAGGCAATATGAAAAATAGAAAACATCCTTTGAGGAATTGACTCTCACTAGTCAAAAGTCACTAGGATATGCAAACCCGAGAACACTGCTTAAAATTGTTGACCTTGGAAATCAATAAAAAACTAGCTTGAATCCTTAATACAATGAAACATTAGTCAGCATATACAATTTGTGTCAGTTAATGAAACCTTTAGAATATGTGTAAAATTAATGTATACATGCAATGTCAAATCAATACAAATGCCTCAAGAAAAAGAAAGGTTAAATTAATTTAAAGAAAATTGCCATGCTAGTTATTTTTTTCCTTTTAATTAAGTCTTTAAATATATGCTAAAAAGAAAAAATATCTTACTACAAGAATCAGTATTCAAATAAAATTCTTAGTGACTTTATGTAGGTTTTGTAAACTCTAGGTCTCATATTTTCATAAAAATAGTTAAAATAATTCCTTAATATGATTATATATGTATATTGGTAATGGGACAGACTTTCGCTTAGTAATCTGTTTTCCTTTGAAAGTCAGGATTCATGTTTCTTTATCTGCATCTCATGCTAATCACATAATATTGTTAAATATTAATCGCAAATACATATTCTTAACTTGAGTCTAACACTAACGTAGCAGTGGGATATCACTTTTATTTCACAATAGTGTCATTTCATATAACATAATTGTGTTATTATAGAGACTAATTTAGTAATGTATGTGCAATGTCTTGTCGCTTTTCAGAGCCCTCTCCTAGTTCACAGGAAAATCGTGTGCACCAGCCTCTCAATGATTGCTTAGTTTGTACCCATTTTTGGCATTATTAGAGTGCAATTGTGTAGCACCAAGGAAACACTCCATAAATGTTTCTGTTTTTTGCATTTGTAATAATTAATAAAATTTCCTCATTTCCTTTTAGCAAATTTTACTTTGTTAATTTGTCCCAGGTTGATAGTATCTTCTTCATGCTTACATCCTTTGGATTTTTTCAATATTCTGTTTGTAGAAATGGAATTGTTATATTAAAAATACTGATATGCATTTTTAAAATTTCAGAGAAAAATTTATTGAATTCAGCTTGTAATATTAGGAAAGTTTATATATTAAAGTATACCTTCTTAATCTATGTTGCTGTGAAAAAGTTACATGTGTAAATATTAATATGCATTAAAACTTTAAAAATTCCAATCCAAAAATCCTCAAATGGTCAATCTGGTTATAATTAGTCAGTTAAAATAGAAAGAAAATATTGGAATCTCTCCTTATTTTTGCTCTGTTATATCGGGCAGAGTTGTCCAAAGAGGAGGACTCACTTGTGAGGCTCCCGCTGATAAGCTTATCTGAAGTGTGAATACTGTCGGTGGGAGTGTAGCTGAATGTGCTGTTTTCTTGTGAACATTATAAAAAGTTAGAGCAGGATAAGGGGTCCATCATCCAAGTAGTATATTTTTCTTATGACCAAGAACTCTATCGTGAAATAATCAAAGATGAATACAAGAATGCACATAAACACAGATACAAAAATAATAAAATAGCCCACAAACACCCGCTCTGCACTTGCTCTTTACTTACATTTAAATTAAAAGCAATGTAAAATGGATTTATTAAGAAATGAAACAACAGAAGAATACAAAAATAAAATGAACAGGTCCATGACACTTTTACGAAATGACAGAAAGACACTCATGAACTGTAGTAAGATAAGGACTTACATATACTGGGCTTTATTTATCTCTGAAAGTTGTCTCTTATTCTTCCGATTCAAACATCTATTAAATGGCATGTTGACATTTATAGCCTTCTGATTGGTGTTGTCAAAAGACTCAAAACCCCCAAGTGTCCTATACTTGGGATATGCTCTGCTGTTACCATCGTGAAATTCTTAATAATTATTGAGCAAAGAGCCCTGCATTTTCATTTTATACTGAGCCCTGAGAATTATATAGCTGGTGCTGATGAGAGTTGTTACTTATTCTTGAGCTTCCCAAAAGTGAATCATACAGAATGTCATCTTTAATGTGAGGTTTCTTTTGCTCAATATACTATTTTTGAGAATTATGTATATGGCTATACCTACCAAGAATTTGTCCTTTAATGTTGCTCAGTGATATATCAATTTATTTGGTTTCAATATGAGATAATATAACAATGTATTTATTTGATCCTTTCTTTAAACTACTTCTAATTGACTATTTTTTCACCAAAGATCAATTTCCACAATCATCTTTTAAAGTGTGGATTCATTTATCAATTACCGCTTCCATCCCTACAAATCCCTGGCTATGTGCATTTGTTTTGCTTAAAATTCAATGTGCAATGATTTTTTGCTATGTACATTTCTGTTTTGCTTAAAATTCAATGTGCAATGATTTTGAGCTCATCTATTTCCTCTGAAATTTTGCCAAAGACATGTAATAAAACCCACTAATAATTTATTACCTTGAAAATAAATGTTCTAAATTATCGCAGATGGCAATTTTACCAAATATTTCACAACTCTGTAATATCAATTCCTTCTTTCATGCAACTTTCTCACTATGTCACTTGAGGTGAGTTACCCTAAAGCACCCTATGTTTGTGTTATGATCCTATGTCTGTGTTATGATCCTATGTCTGTGTTATGATCCTATGTCTGTGTTATGATCCTATGTTTGTGTTATGATGCTATGTTTGTGTTATGATCCTATGTTTGTGTTA